GCAGAGCGCGGTGCCAGGGGGGTGGGGGCACCGGTGCCCGTCTGGGGAGGGAGCAGGCGGAGGGGGTAGGCTGCGATTACAAGCAGGAACCGGCAGCAGCTGTGAGTCCCCGGCGGGGCCGGGCGGGGGGAGGGGAGCGGCGCCCGGGGCCGGCCCCCGGGGGTCGCGGGGTGGGCAGGAGGAGGGGGCGGGAGGTTGGCCGGTAGTTGGCCCAGGATGGCAGGCAGGGGAAGGGTCCGGTGCCGGCAGCCCTCATTCCCCCCTTTCCCCGTGGGCCGCCGCTCCTCAGGCCGCACCGCCTCCGGAGCCCCTTCCCCGGCCGGGGGACGGCGGACCGAGGGCCCGGGGTTCGACCGGCTGGGGGAGGGGGTTGCGTGGTCTCGGCCCCCGAGAGGGGAGGGGCGACAATTTCTGTCCGCCGAGCGAGAGGGGTTTAAAGGGCGGCTCTTAAAGGGGCCGCAAAAGGGGCCCGGGCCGAGGAGTCACCCCCCTCCCCATCCGCCTTCCACGGCTCTCACCCGGGGCCGCTGGGCTGAGGGAGGAACGCTGAGGACGGAAACATTTATCGGGGCGGCCCAGGGGACAGAGCCCCCGCTAGTGGGTTTGGGCCCGAGGTGGCGGGCAAGGGGTCTGGGGGCGTGTGGTGAGCGCTGGCGAGCGGCGTTGGGGGGAGGGGATGGGTCTGGGAAGGACAGGGTTAAAGGTGGGGCCAGCCCCGCAAACCCGGGCTCACACTCCTTACTCAGACCCGGTCCCTCGCGTTTCCCTGGCACTTAATGGGGGGACGGTGTTAGGGCCTGGGCCTGAGCCCTGTCCACCCCAAGCTCCTGCTGCCCAGCTGTGGGAGGTCGGACCCCACTGTCTCAACTCACACCTCAGGAGCCCCCTTTCCTACGCGCACACGTTCCGGCACGCGCGCACACACCTCGGACATTCCCATAGTGCCTCACGTGACACACGGCCCTGAACGTGCCCACCCTTCACACACGCTCACGCACGCGTGCACACACGCGCACACACAAACACACTCGGTCTCGCGGCCACTTCCCAACTGCATCCCCGACCCCCACCCGCAGCCCCGCCAAGGCACTCATTGACTGTGACACACCTACACTCATTCACAGACACACACACTTCCCCCCACACATGCCAGCCACAGACACATTCATAAACAGGGCCGGGAGAAGTACACGCGCACCCCCTCGCCTACTCTTTCTGGAGCCCTGAGTCATTCCTGCCCCCTGCCAGAGCTCCCCATTTCCCAGTGGGCAGGCACAGGGGCCGGGCTCGGGAATTCTTTGGCGGCCCTCTTCTCCTGAGCCCCCGCCCTCTCCCAGAGCCCCCTTCCCCTGTGTTCTCTCTGACACTCAGGCGACGACTTCCTGTGGGTCCCAGGTTAGGGTGAGGAGGGCCTGGAGGGTTGCCACAGCCCCAGTGTGAGTGGGGGAGGCACTTCCTTTTCCTGAACTCTGGGATCCTGCAGGAGGAAGCCGGGAAGTTGGGCGGGGGCCTGGCAGAGGACGTGCTAACAGTGGTGGGGCTGACCCTCCCAGAAGCACTGGGCCTTCCTCAGGGAGGAGCCAGGGGTGCCAGAGCCCTGGGATGAGGAGCTTGGCAGAGAGGTATTTGGGGAAGTGAGGCCTGGGGTGGAGAAGGGGTTGAGGAGTGAGTCAAGGCAGGCACCGTCTGGGCCCTGTGCTGGGAAGGCAGGAACAGCAGCCCTCTCCTGTCCACAGGTCTCCCTGGGTTCCGGAAGGAGCCCTTCCCCGCTGCTGACCTGGCTTATTTGTCCCCACTTAACCCTCTCCCCCCCAAAGGTAGCAGAGAAGAGAAGATGGGGCTTAGTAGTCTGGGAGGAGGCTGTGGGAGATGGGGGCAGGACCAGGCTACATCTCAGGGCTCCTCGGGCCAGGGCTCCTCGGGCCAGGGCTCCTCAGGCCAGGATGAGGGGTATGGGACAAGCTCCAGGCTGCTCTCTCCACCATTGCTCCTGCTCTCCCAGGAGGCCCAGGGGGGGCCACGGCCCAGGACCTTGCCATGGAGTCCATGTTTGAGGATGACATCAGCATCCTGACCCAGGAGGCCCTGGGACCCAGTGAGGTGTGGCTGGACGCCCCTGGAGACCCCTCGCTGGGGGGGGACATGTGCTCTGCCTCCCACTTTGCCCTTATCACAGCCTACGGAGACATCAAGGAGCGGCTGGGGGGCCTGGAGAGGGAGAATGCCACACTCCGCCGCCGCCTCAAAGTCTATGAGATCAAGGTCAGAACCTGGAGATGAGGGGTCTGCTGTGTGTGTGTAGGGGGGTGCTGGGTGACAGGAACTGGGGATTCAGCAGAGATTCCAGGGGTCCAAAAGAGGAGTCAGGGTGTACACTCTTGGGAACTTGAGGGTTCCCCGTGAGTGATGTGGCTGCTCTGGATGGGAACTCTAGAGAGTCCAGCGCCAATCAGCAAGGGATCTGGAGGGATCCCTGGATCTAGAAAAGATCTGATTGGTGGAGATGCCTGCAGGCCCGTGGGAATTGGGATGTACAGATCCCACTGGAGGGGGGAGGGAGAGGTGAGGACTCTGAGGCAGGTTGTGGGGTGGGGGCACAGCAGGCTGAAGCCTGGGCAGGGAGCTGGGCATTAGCTCTCCTGAGGGCCTGCCTTGCCCGCAGTACCCGCTGATCAATGACTTTGGAGAGGAGCACGGCTTCTCTCTGTATGAAATCAAGGATGGCTCCCTGCTCGAGGTGGAGAAGGTCAGCCTACAGCAACAGCTCAACCAGTTCCAGCACGAGGTGAGTCCCTCGCAGGCCTCCCCGACCTTGCTCCCTGAGCTCCTTGCTCCAGTCAATTTCTGATCGCTCCCCCACCCCCAGCCTCTGGCCTTCTGTCCCCTTGATCCCCACGGTCTTCCCTAGAACTGGCTGCAGCTCCTCCTGCCCCTCCACTGGGTGCTGGGAATCGGGGTGGGAGGCGCAGGGAGCTGCTCAGCCCCCAAGTCAAGGATGGGCCTGACTGTGGCGTGTTCTCTACCCTCTCTGGGCCCCATCCAGTTGCAGAAGAATAAGGAGCAGGAAGAACAGCTCGGGGAGATGATCCAGGCTTATGAGAAACTCTGCGTGGAGAAGAATGACCTAGAGACAGAGCTGGGGGAGATGGTGAGGCCCAGAGAGCTAGGGTGCTTGGGGGTGTGGCCCTGCTTGTGTGATTGTGTGCAACCCGGTGTGTGTGACTGTGGGGTGCACCCCGCTGTGTGTGTTTGTGTCTGTGAGTGCCCGTTTGGTCTTGTGAGCGGGGCTCTGTGTGTCATGCAAGTTGTGAGTGACTCTGTGTACATCCTGGCCATGTAGTGACAGAGGTGACTATGTGAGTGACCTCGTTCTTTATGTTGAGTCTCACGCTAGGTCAACCCTATACCTATAGCAGTGTGCCCTGGTAGGCTGTAGGTGAGGGCAGAGGTGACCAGAAGTGTCTATGGCTACTAGGATGGGTCTTGGCATATGTGTGATTCTGAGTCAGAGTATGGCCATGCATGTGAGCAGGTGGGCAGGCGTCAGAATCAGGAGACACAGTCTTTGCCAACTCCTGGCTGTGACCTGGGTCAAAGCACTTAGCCCCCATCCCTCCTCTGAAAAGCGGGGCAAATAACAACCTCGAGAGCTGTTGTGGGGCATTCGTTTGAAAATGCATTGCCTTAATAATCATAAACACTTACATGGCACTTACCATGTGCTGGGCACCATTCTTATCTCTTTAGATATATTTACTCATTTTAATCCTCATGACAAACCTAAGAGGTAGGTTTGGTTATCCCCATGTTGTAGGTGAGGTAGATGAAGCCCAGAGTGGTTGTCACGTATGCAAATAGAAGTTCTTATGCTCCTGAGGGGGTGGCAGTGTCTGAACAGGGTTCTTATAAGTATCCCTGTGTGTTAGTGACAGGAAGAGGCATTAACTCTGACCTTGCAAGGGGCAGTAGCCAGAAACATCTGCATTGCAGTTGCTGGGAGGCGAGACCTCGCACTCACGGCCACTTGGAGAGTGGAGTTGGAATGTGTGACCTGGGGCCTCTGCTCAGTTTGGGGGGATGATGGCTACCCAGACATGGGGAAGTCCTGGGCTTGGGGGGCCCACAGGGGCGCCCTGGCCCTGTGCAGACCCTCACCCTCTGTCTCTCCCCACAGAGGGCCCTGGTGGAGACCCACCTGCGGCAGATCTGCGGTTTGGAGCAGCAGCTGCGGCAGCAGCAAAGCCTCCGGGACGCAGCCTTCCCCAGCCTGAGTCCCCCACCTGCCCCTGCCCCGCCTTGTGCTGAGCTGGACCTGCACTACTTGGCCCTGAGAGGGGGACCTGGCTTGAGTCATGGTGAGATCTAGTGGCCCCTGATTTTCCTACCCCAAAGTCCCCCAGCCAACCCCCCATTTTAACACCATTGGATACCTCCAGCTTCTCGGATTGATAGTCCACACCTCATGATAATGTGTTAAATTTCTCCCATAATCTCCCCCTCTCTTCTTACCAACTTAGTCTCTCACCTCATCCACTATTACCCCAGTTTCTCCCACTGACATCCCGTCTTAACTCCCTCCTTCTCTGGCTACCCTGTGCAATTCCTGTATGTGCCAGCAGAGGGCGCGCCCACCCAGAGTCCCCCTGCCTGTCTGAGGTTGTGATTAGGAGCGGCCCCTGAGGATGCTCAGAGACTCGGGTCTGGCCAAGGAAGCCCTTCAGGGGCCATATTATTTTTTCCCTGGCCTCCAGGGAGATTAGAAAAAGCGGCTCAGCCCATCCTTCCTCACTGCCCTCAGTAGAGGTATCTCTCAACCCAAGCTGTCTGTCCTCTGGCTGTCTCTCTTGGATCCCTCATGCTGCAGTTCTCCCCCGTTTCACTTTGTGCTGATCTGGCAGTCGGTGGAGGGTGCCCAGCAGCTGGACCCAGCCTGACATTGTCCTGTCCCGTGCCAGCAGGCTGGCCAGGCCCCACACCGAGTGTGAGTGAGCTGGAGCGGCGGCAGCTAGAAGAGGCTCTGGAGGCTGCCCAGGGAGAGGCCCGGGGGGCTCAGCTTCGGGAGGAGCAGCTGCAGGCTGAGTGCGAGCGGCTACAGGGGGAGCTGAAGCAGCTGCAGGAGACCCGGGCCCAGGTAAGCAGCAGGGGGCACCGACCTGGCCCCTCCAGAACTCTGTGGAGATCTAGGTGCTGCTGGGAACGACCTTGAGAGGTTCAGGATTCTCTCCCTGAGTACAGACCAGCCCTGAGAATGTGGAGAAGGGGAGTCAAGGCAGGTGGAGTTGGGGTCTGACATCTCAATCTTCCCCCTTAGGATCTGGCCTCCAACCAGTCAGAGCGGGACATGGCGTGGGTGAAGAGAGTTGGAGATGATCAGTAAGTCACGTCTGCAGTCCTCCCCCTCTTAACCTCTACACCGCAGGGGGGCATTTCCCAGGCCCCCACTTTGGTTCACTTCTCCCCCTGTGCATTGTTGGGGGACCTCTATTCCAAGGCATCAGGGCCGTGGGTTGCTTGTGTGGCTCTGCATCCTTCACAGGAAGGAGGCGAGGTTCTGGGCGTGCTCAGGTTCTGGGACGTTCCCTTTGCTTTCCTCTGGCACCCTTGTCATCTCGAGGTGTCAGGGGCTGAGAGAGACTTCCTCAGAGGCTTTGCTGCTGTGTTCTGTGTCCCTTGGTGAGTTTCTGGGCCTCTCTGAGCCCCGTTTTCTGCCCCAGTAACAAGGCCCAGCCAGTTGGGGTAACCTTCCCCTCCTCAACCATGAGGAAGGAGATGGCCTTTCGGGATTTGTGGCGCCTCGTCTCAGGAGAGAGAAAGCTGAGGCTTAGGAGAGGAAGATCGGCCTTGAGTTCATACAGCAGCAAGTGGGAATCAGAACGTACTCTATTGGGGTGTCCCTTGGGGATCCTGCCAGGAAAGAGCGGCAGCAGGAAGGAGGGAGGGAGCTCTGTCAGAGGGGAGCCTAAGGTGGGGGCCCCTGGGCAGTGCTGGGTGGCGAAGGAGAGGGCAAGTGGCAGCCTGGCAGCAGTCAGCCTGTTGCCTCTCACATCCGCACCCGAACTCATCCTCTCCCACTTTCTGAGAAATAGAGCACAAACCTCCTTCCGCCTAAGCCTTCTCCCCGAGACGAGGCGTGTGCCACAGGCTCCCTACTTTCATTGGAGGGGGAAACCGAGACCCAGAGAGGGGCAGGAACTAACCCTCATCACACAGCATACCCAGCTGCAGGACCCTAGGGGTCCTCCTCCCTGCAGGCTTCCTCCTCACCTTCCTCCCAGCTTCTGGCCAGTTGGGGATACCCCTTACCTCCCTCTGCACCCTGAGGCAAGGGCCTGGGTGGAGCTGTGATAGCCGGCGGGGGGTGGCCGGGGTGAGAACCTAGATTGTGGGACTGGTGGGTGGGACCCCTCAGGCTGCTGAGGAGTGTTGGGTGCCTCTGTGGAGAGGGTCCACCCTAGCTTGTGGCTGAGGCTCACAGCCCATCCTAGCCCATGTGCCCAGACTAGATCCAGAACATACACACATGGACACGCATGTTCTAGAAGCCTGGCTTGCCCCAAAAGTCACATTGTAGGGCCCTTTATGGGTCACTGAGTCCAACCCTCTCAGAAGACCAGCAGTGAAGGCTCCCCCAATGGGTTGAACCCAGAGAAAGGATTTTTTTGGCAGGGCTGGAGTCTGAACTGCCGGGCTTTGAATCCCAGGGACCCTTCCAGGGATGCTGAGTGGCTTTGCTTTACTGACTTCACCTCTCTGGCCCCAGATTTCCCTCACAGGCTCAGAGGGCAGTCATTGCCAAGAGATGTGAGAGGAAGGTGATGAGGGTGGGGGAGGCAGAGAAGGGGTGGTGGATCCCATGGGCCAAGGCTGGATGTGAGTGAGAGAACCCCTCCCAGAAGGTACTTCTGGAGGTGCTATCATCCATGCCTCTGTGTGGCCAGAAGAGCCCCTTTCCTTTCCCACCCCAGGGTACCTCCCCACCCAGACCCTTTGGACAGAGGGAGCTGGGCTCTGCTTGGGGCTGGCCTGAGCCGGTCTTACCAAAGGTGACCTCCCGGCTCCTCCCCTCTGTCCCTGTGGTTCGGGACCTCCTAGACCTCAGCCCCTGGAGCCAGCCAGGCCCTGCCTGCCCAGCCTCACATTTCCGTTCAGGCCGAGCATCTCTGGACAGCCCCAGCTTGGCAAGAGTTAATTCTCAGAGGAAGTCCTCACTCCCCCGGTAGTTTTATTTTCTTATAAACTCAGCTCCTTTTGGTAATAGGCTGCTTCCCGAGTGTTCCTCCCCTGTCCTCCCACCTGAGGAGGCCTCAGTTACCTGCTCTCAGCACACTTTCCCCCACCAGACCCTCCTCTTTCTTCTACTTGGGCCTGACCCTCCAGGCTAGTGGGAATGTTACATGTGGGCTTTCCCAGGAGAGGAATGCAGGGGCTGGATTATCCAGCTGGGGGTGTGAAAGCTGAAGAGGGGGCCACAGAAATTCCTGAGTCAACCTGCTCCTGTGTGGGAGTCTTGTGTATCCCCAAAAGTTGCTCACCCATCTCAGTTGGACACCTCCAGGGCAGCCAGGCTTATTGTGGGAGTCCTGGCTGTTAAAATACCCTCCTTAGACTGCTCCTGCCTCCCTCTATTAATTCCCTTCCATGGGTTCTACCAGTGCTGAGGGGGCAGACCTGGGAGGCAGCCCTGGCCCCAGGATTTCCCAGTCCCTCCCATCCCAGCCCCTGGCGCATAAACTCTGGTCATCAATGTTCCTCTGCAAATAGGCACCTGGACCAGACCAGACTGCCCCCCTCCAGGTCTGACCTCCGGGCAAGATTTCCCTGCCATTTGGTCAGCCCAGCACCTGGTGCCTGGTGCCCAGGGGGAAAAATTGCCCCAGAGGAATAGCCACTGAGGGTCACTCAGGGGCCAAAGGCAATGATGAGGGACGAGGTGGGAGTGGAGACCACCCTGCTCCTGATGATGCACAGGGAGGTAAGGACCCCAGGAGGGTCCCAGGCAAGGTGCAGAACCCATGGCCCCATCCCGTCTGGGCCCAGCACAGAGTTGCAGGTCCTGAGTGCAGCCCTTCTAAGGGTGTGGTCAGTGCTGAGGGTGGAGGGGAAATTGTGGAGGGGGTGCTCCTTGAAGGGGCTGAGGGCTCTGAATGGGTGGGGGCTCAGTGAGGGGAATGAAGGCTCGGAGGGGAGGGGCCCCATCCGTGATGTGAGCCCCCTGTGAGAAGACGGAGGCTCAGTGTGAGTGATGAGGGGGAAAACGATAGGCCTTTCTTTTTTCCCAACGTGGGGGGCTCAGTGTTGCAGCCTGGGCCCTTTTCCGCCCACCCCCCACACCCTCTCTCCGCCCACAAGCCTCTGCGTGGGCTGCGGTTAGTGGTGGGGGAGAAGTGTGAACTCGAGAGAGAGGATGGAAACTCTGCACAGAGGTCAAGGGCAGTGTGGGGTGGGTCAGGACGGAAGTCGGAGACCCCCGTGTACCCTGAGCTTAGCCTCCTGCCCCAGAACCAGCGGGCCCAGGGCCTCCCCCTTCACGCTTCTCACCCTCCCTACTTCCTTTCTTTCAAATCTCCTTCAGCCCGGGCACCCAGCTCACAGGAATTAACCCCTGAGCACTTGCAGCCTGGGAGGCTCCCTGAGGGTGGGGAGGGGCTCTGAAGCTGGGGCCCACCACTCCCACCTGATTGTGGTCTGAGGGATTGGTGGGCTTTGAAGCCAGCTGTGCCCCTCTCCCTGCCAGGAAGGCAGAGTGTGGCTCTTACCACGTCCTCTCCCTAGATGGGAAACTCTGCATCCTCCCCTCATTCTTAAACCAAAGTCGTCGAGCTGGTGTCTCCAAAAAAGGATCCAGACTGGTTTCCCCCTTTCTCCACCTGTCTCCTAGGGACTCCCCTGATACCTCATCCAGACACTACTTGAGGCGATTTACCTCCAAAGTCTCATTTAATTCTCACAAAAAAACTGTGGTGAAGGTACTGTCCCCTTTTCCAGCTGAGCAAACTGAGGTACAAAGAAGTTAAGTAATCAGAGAAGTTCAGTGAGAAGTGCAGTGCAGATGCCAAGCAGGTGGGGCGATCCTGAGCAAGTGGGGCGACAGTGCCTCTGTGGGATTTCTCTGGGGCAGGTTAGGTGACGCCAGATGATTTGCTGACCAAACCTGATCACTTTTGAAAGTGAAAGGGGGCACTATTAATACTTATGCAGGGGCAACTAGCGTGAACGAGGACAGTCCTGCGCAACTTGGGATGTGTGGCTCCTTCCTTAATGGGGACTCTGGTTCCCAGCCCCGCCGGGAGCTGCTCAGTGGGGCTGCATCTGGGGAGGTTGTCTAGACACACAGTGAACATCTGGCTTTGCTGGAAGCATGGCAGGGGCTGCCATGAAGAGCTCTGTGGACCGCAAGTCATAGCTGGTCGAGGAGAGAGAAGGGGCTCAAGGCGCCTGAAAGGAAGTGGTGGAGCACTGGGTTGTTGCAAAGCGACTTCCTCCTCCCCCCGGCCCGCAACCTCAAGTCCGCTCCACGGCCCGGTGCCTGAGGTCCCCTCCCAGAGGGTCGGGCGGGTCGGGCGGGAAGACTGATGCTGGGTGTGCCGGCGTGTGGTGGAAAGTTTGGTCCCTAAATTCCCCCACAGGGGTGAGGTGGCTGGGGCAGCGATGGGCAAGGATGGAAGGGCTGGGAATTCTGGATGTCTGCCTCCTGACTCTGAGTCAGCTAGTGCTTCTGACCACGTGACCAGCTCTGATCCTGATGCCAGTCCCAACTCTAATACTGATCCCATCCCTGACTCGAACCCTGTCCCTCATCCTGACCCCAACTCTGTCCACAATCCTGATGGAAAATGAGCTATCAACCCCAGCCCTGATATGACCCTGACTCAACCTTAATTCTGACCTCAAACCCATCCCTAGTTCTCATCCCATGATTCACTGGCCTGAATCCCGACCCAGCTGCATCCTCCCTGGGGCTCCAGTGCAGCGCAGGCCACCCAGTGAACGTCCCTGGGGAAGATGCTGCACTGGGAAGCCCCTGTGTCTCCCAGCTGCTTTAGAGCAGAAAGAAGATGGATGTTTAGGTCTCTAACCTTTCTCATCTCGGTTGCTTTATCAGTAACAGTGACAATTATTGTTTCCAGATGAATTTCCGAGATCCCCGAATTCCTGGTGGAAAGAATGAATGGAAGGATAAGTCAATGAAGGGGGAAAGATTTGCAGCGGAGGGAGCCCTCCTTCCTGCCAGCTCTGCCATTTGCACTGCTCAGCAGGCTGAAGTGCCAAGAGCACGTTTGGATCCCTGCTCTGTTACCTTGAGCCAGCCTCTCAGTAGCTCTACATATGTCTAGCACCTTCTTCTCCCCTCCCAGAGCAGAGATGGTGATGCTCAGGGCTCCCAGGCCACTTCCGCCGTCCCCAGCCTCTTCCTTCTCACCGTCTTTCCCTTCTGCTGCCTTCCATCTCTCCTTGCCCCCTCTCCTGATCCTTTTGGGAGGCAGTGTATAGCTTAGTGGTCAGCAGCCTGGACTTTGGAGTCCCGGAGGCCAGAGCTCCCGTTCCAGCAACCCCACTACTACTAGGCTTTATGACCTTGAGCAAGTGACTTCACCTCTGTAAGCCTCAGTTTTCTCATCTGTAAAGTGGAGATAACAGTGGCAACACTGAAGGGTTGTTGTGAAGATTAAGTAAAGTTCTTAGCACAATGAGTGGGCCGTGATAAGGGCTCAGACAGATTATCTGTGCTTCTTTTCTCCCTGGGTCCCTCCCAGGTTCTGAGAGACTCAGACAAAACTTTCCCCAATAATTGAAGGAATAAAGAAGCACCCACAGGCAGCCACCTGCTGCCGTTGCCCTGACCTGTCCTTCCCAAACAGTCACGATGGTGGAAAATAGCACTCAGGTGTGGGCCAGGAAGCCAGGAAATGGAATGTGTATTCAGGTGCACATGTGCGACTCTTGGTTGTGTTGTGAAGTTGAGATTTTTTCCACTGAATTGGCAGTGTTTTCTAACGTGAGTCATTCAGGTCCTTAGTGTAGTTAGCAGCATGGGCCTGTGCATCTTGAGGTGGGAAGAGACGCCCGATGAAGGGGGGGCGGGTCCCAGAGGGCCTTGGGACATCAGGAGGTCAGGTCCCACCACCTTGCTCGGGGCTCAGAGGTCTTCGTAAGGGCTGCCTGGGGCTCCAGGAGGACAGTGCCCGCCTGCCCCAGGCACCGGGTCAGAGCTGGGAGAGGGGCTGGGCAGTCTGAGCTGGGGGCTTCTTCTCCATTGCCTGCTGCCTTGTCGGTTTTGCTGCAAAGTGGGTGCCAGGAGCTGGGCGGTGGAAACTGGGGTAGCTCCTGACAAGGGGAGGAAGGCAAGCAGGGGAGAGATAGGGGCCTGGGAACTGAGTGTGGCAGGTGAGATCTCCAAGGCGGGGTGTGAAGGCGATGACCTGTATCTGTCACCTGAGATATAGCAGTGAAGGCAGATGGGGAGAGAAACTGGGGCTGCTTGGTCAGAGGGGGACACAGTGCCCTGCCCAGAGGCCCCTCCTGCCCCCACCACTGAGGGGCTAGCATGATCCTCTGAAAGCTCCCAGTCTGATGGGGGAGACACAGCTTCTGCCCTCAGATTGCCCTCATTCTGAAGGAGGGAGCTTTCCATTGAGAAGTCCCCAATTTAATGTGGGACACACAGACTGGGCCTCTCAGTCTTGTGGGGGAGATGCCGTTTCTTCCCACAGACCCTTGAGATGAGGGTGGGGGAGCACAGGACACATTCAGCAATCATAAGGGCTGAGATGTAATGAGACTGAGGATTCCCCAAAGGACTCCTTCCTCTCTGCTCCTGTCCGTCCCTGTCCACCCTCAGGTGAGGAGTGAGCACTATCCCTTCCTAAGAAGAGGGTTTGTCCCCCAGAATCCAGCCTGTCTGCCATAATTTGGCTTTGGCCCAAATTGGTTAAAAATAGTTTTGTTGTAGGAGGGTCTGCTGTCTCCCCCACTGCCCAGCTCTGCCCCAGGATTAGTAAGAGCCAGCCAGTGAGCTCAGTCATTATCTACCCTCTGCACCTCGGCTTTTCCTGCCCCCTTAAGCCCTAACCTCACGACTTCCCTTCCTCTCCTCGGGGTCAGACACACACACACATGCTCACTTGCACACCATTCTTCACACTCTTCATACTGGCCTCACACCTCCCTTTCTTCCCTCCCATCCACAGATATCCCATCTCACATGTCCATTACCATGGGATGGGGACAGGCCCTCAGGGTCTGGAGAACTACCCCCACCCCCCCACACCTCTCACTCCTGCTCAGGGCCCTACACCTCCTGGGGCAAGAGGGCCTCCCCGGTGAGGAGATCCATCTGGAGTGGCTGAGCCTCTGCCTGTGACTTCCCTCCAGCTCCAACTTCCACAGACTTCCGGAGTCCCTTCTGGACTTGGTGATGGCGGGCCAGGAAGGGGGGAGATCCGAGGAAACCAAAACCCCTACCTGCCAGGATCTGTCTAAGCCCACAGCAGAGATGAAGGCAGTGACCCAAGGCCACGGCAGAGCCTCATGTGAGGGCAGGAAGGGCTCCCTGGAGGTGGAGGCCAGGGTGGGAGAGAGGGGAGGGGCAATGCTGAGTGATAACCTTTGGTGGTTCTGGGTCAGAGTGACCCAAAGAGAAAGGAAGTGGGTGAAGTTTTGGCTAAGCTCAGAGTCTGTTCCAGCTCCGTGAGGGTGGGTACCCAGGAGGCCTGAGCAGGAAGTGGGAGGAAGAAAGGGAACAAGAAAGAAAAATGGATAGAGAGGCTCAATCCATTATTCACTTACTGAACATCTACTGGGTACCAGGCCCTGGACAAGGTGCTGGAAAAATGAATACAATGATATAATCCCCACCTTCAAGGAACTCCTAGTGAAGTTCCAGAACAAGGCAACCTTTGAAAAATGATAAATGTGAGTGGTGCCCCCTGGAGGTGTGCGGTGCACAAAGATCTCGCTGTAAGGGCTCCCTGGAGATCCTGGGAGCTGCAAGGCTGAAAGGAGCTCAGAGGCAGCTTTGAGCTGGAAGCAAGAGCAGTGGACCTGGAACTGGGCAGACTTGGGCTCAGGTTTGGCACAAGATGGCACCTCAGGAGGCCATGTCTTCACTTATGGAATGGGGCTCTTCATAGGCTATGCAACAGTGGTCCCCAGTCTTTCAAAGCTGAGGACTTTTCATGGACCCCTGCTCCCAACACACAGATTGCGCTTACACTTTTAGTACCCACTCTTTGAGAAAACTCACAGTGACAAAAGCTACCATAAATTCAGTGCAGCTTTTTTGATGAATCTGTGTTTTATTCGTCACCACAGCTTCTGCACAGATTAGAAAAACACACATATGTATGAGATGTGTTCAGGCCACAGACAGTGCTCCGTGAACACATGCATTCAGGGACCCCTTGGAATCACTGAACTCCCCAGCCCCAGCCCAAAGTCTGGGAACCACCGCCCTAGCCCCAGGTAAGGTTCACTGGCAGGAGAGAGAGGCTCCCTGGAAGAGGTGGCCTTTGAGGTGGACCTGAAGGCCTAAGAGAATTTCTGTAGTTGGGGTAGGAGAGAAGGGGAGCGCCAGATGTGGGTTCTTCCTCCACAGCTGTGACAGTAAACCCACTTCCCTCCTCTTCCCCACTCCCTGCCCTCTGACCTCAGGGTCAGGGCAGGCTGGGGTCAAACCTTGACTCAGGGGTTGGGGTGTCGTTCAGGGTGAATTTGGCGCTGGCTTACACGGAGCTGACAGAGGAGCTGGGCCGGCTTCGGGAGTTGAGTTCCCTTCAGGGGCGGATCTTGAGGACTCTGCTGCAGGAGCAGGCCCGGAGCGGTGGTGAGATGGGGCGGGGCAGGGGAGGCTGAGGCCGGAGCTGGACCATAGGGAGGGGCAGCTATGGCTACCATCCTGCGTCCTGGGCCACCCTCCACTTCCCTTCCCCGTGCCTGGTCCTTCTTCACTCGCGCTGGGAGGACAGCGGCAGGGGTCGCCGCAAGCACCTGGCTCCCCAGTTCTGACGTCTTCTCTCCTCACCTCTGTCCCCCACACCCCGTCCTGCTTCTCCTCCAGGCCAGAGGCACTCCCCGCTGTCGCAGCGCCACTCCCCGGCCCCCCAGTGCCCTTCACCATCCCCGCCTGCCCGAGCGGCGCCCCCGTGCCCCCCGTGCCAGTCCCCC